TCGTCCTTTAGACGAGATACGATATGTCAGCTAATTACTAGACTTTCCTTGTATAACATCGTAGGATTAGAGAGGAATAAGAATGCTATCATAGATGGATCAATGTGTAAACTTGAAGGCCTAGGGAACTCCTTTAGATAAATATTGAAAGTTAGGATCGATCGGAGGAGGCCTTACCTCTTAGATGACCTAAGCAAGTCATTAAGATACTGGATAAATCCTTCTAACTGTAGTGACTTAAGGTCGAGTAGTAGACGGGTGAGGCCCACAGTTCTAATAGGGTTTCACTTTAGCTTTCTGCAGCAAAGCATGTCTATCAGATACTGTAGTGAGGTTATAGATCTGATTTCTTTCTCGTATTAAGATCATAGAATGCTATATGCAGCCACCCTGCAAGGTTACTTTAGATAGCGGTATTTTCTGTGTAACACTAGCATCCCCATTCTAAGGTTTCTTTGTACTTAGATCATGAGTTCCACTCTTAGTAGCCTTTATTCCCATCATGCATAAGAACATATGTTTTTCCCTCAGTTTCTGCTCCCCTTGTTTTAACTAAAGAACTACCTTTTACTTTAAGTAAGACTCTAAGAGCTTTACCTTAGAATGAGTTAGATTATTTGTGTTAACAAAAAAGAATGGCAGGGCGTTAAAAAGATGGCTATGAGACTAGTGCAATCAGGTAATCAACCAAGTAATCCCCATACATGATAAAAGAGCATTCTATCCCTAGTGTACTTATCCATTGGCATTGAAGGAGAAGAATGACAAGGTATTCTTTCACAATAAGGATTGCCGCTTAGTCCAATCCAAGAGCAAACAAGGAATTCCTCATTAAGAAAGAACCCGAGATAAAAGTGAGGCAGTTCAATTAAGGTATACAGAAAGCTCCAAGCAGATACCATTGATCAACCTTATTCAGTCACATCAATCAAAGATCTTGCTTATTGGATAACTTTCCTAGTGAAGGAAAGAAAGTTTGACAAGCTAAGAAAGTCTCGTTGGAAGTAGGAACTCAGACTGTGATGACTATTTTCACTAGTTTCAAAGGCTTGATTGACTCTTGGGATTGAATTTGGCCAGGGGGTTCCCTTGTAAAGACTAAAACCTTGTTACGCTTAAAATAGTAGAGGTGCGACAACGCTTTGATAGTCTGTGGAAACTTACTTTCTATCTGTTTAGTATGAGTTTCTTACCCGCTAAGGGATTTGTCCAAGTTAGGACGAGAAGTAGGAGTTTGTAATTGAAGTCGGGGGGCTAAATAGATAAATTCTCTTCCCACGTAGCGCTAAAAAACAAGTTCCGACAGTTTATGATGAAATAACACAAAAAAGGGGCTATGCGAATAATAGTGTTAGTAGTTCGTGAGGCTAATTTTGAGCTAGATAGTGGATTGATGTTCACTATAGCACTATCTGGCCTTGAAGGTTAAGTTAGTGTACCATGAACTCCATCTCACATATTTTGAATGTTTTGGCATCAGTTATCTAGATACATTCTATTACCGATTGACACCATTTTAGAAAACTTTTGTTCTGGTTACTACTTGTTAAATTTCGTTAGGTTCTTTGTCAAAAACTATCTGATTTGAATCCATATCATTTGAGGGTGTAACTTTTGTTGTTCTTTCCGTTGAGCCAAGATGGACCTTATCAAAAACTAATTCCAGAAGCATTTTCCATTCTTCTCGACCTACACTGATCTTTGTTCTGATGATGATAAACCATCATCATAGTATATACACCCAGAAGCCTTCTTTTTGTACCATTTTTCTTCTTTCTAAAAGAGGGCTTGGAACTGGGCTCTCTTCACAACTCCTAAAGGCATTAGGAAGAGATTTAATCAACCAACATAATAACTTCAATTGATAGAAAAATATATGAAGACCTAAAACAAAGAATACCATCTCCCAAGGAGTCTTTTTATTTTGCATATCTCGAGTTTAGAATTCTTCTCACGCTTTTCCATTACGATTTTCTCTTCGAGAACACTCGCCTCATCGATTCTTCCCCTTGTTTCTTTTTATCTTGGACATTGAGATATTTATGCAGATCATTCTTTTTCTACCCTATGTAGGCGACACAATCTACAGAGTTGTAGACTTATTAAGACTTAAGGATATTTCTTTGACGGGTGATCGNATCTTCTTTTTAGAACCATAACTTAGTGAAGTAGGCGACAAGTGCTATTAGGGTCTGTCTTGAGGCATTGGCTCTTAAAAAAAGGATTTCCTATCGTTTCATGCATTCCTTTTTGTATAAAACATATTGACTACAAATTGAACTAAAGAAAGAATGTTAACAGTTCGACAACGTGAAGACTGATCTCGACTTAGAATAATCAAACGTCCATCACGAGTCACATGGGCACCCTCACCAGGTAGAATAGTTGTGATATCCTTATCAAGATCTAACTCTAAGAGGATACTATTCATTTATTCTTTACACTGCTGCTCACTCTGAAGACTAAACAATGGAAATAATACATAATAGTCAGCCAAGTAACGATAATAAGAAAGACTAGGGTATAATTGTTTAAATCCCTGGTCGAAATCATCCAACATAAAATTGTATAAGACCTTAGTGATTAACCCAGCGTGTGGGATCCCTACTTCCGTAAATAGAACAAATAATTTCATTTTGGTCATAAATTGGTATCTTTAAAAATGATGAAACTAAGGATATTTGTTATTATATAGCTATCACGCACCGAGGGTGCCAAAATTTTACGGCCAACTTTCGTAAAATTCTTTTATGATGAATAGTACCTTGTGAAGGTATTAAATCATATCAACTTAATTATAATTAATTTAGTGATTTAACGTATGAGAATATTTATTCATAAACCATAGATATTGTGTGAGAAGTCTAGGTGGAAACAAATTTCATGCATCTATATATTGATTTGGTATAATATAAGGACATACTTTTACTATCCTCTCTACAAAGATTCCTTATAGAGTTATCAATATGGGCGGGTGGGCTTTAGCAATTGACGGGCTGGGCTGGGCTAGCCCATCATTTTGATGGGCCTTATAATGGTCAGCCCACCCCAGCCCTATGTGGACTGCAGGCCCCCATGGGCCGACCCATTATTTTTTTAAATATAATTTTATTTTTTGTCTTTAAGTTCTAACTTCTAACCTAAAAAAGATAAATATTTAAAAGTTAAAAAAATCTAATTGGAAATTTTTTACAAAACTTAATAACTTTTTGTATTTGAATCCAACACATCATCTTCATCAAATACATTTGAATCCGCTTGTGAGAAGGTTGTCTTAATATCTCACTTTCATATACATCTATGATTTGTATGCAATATTAATTAGTTAAATATTAAGAATAATTAAAATTTTAAAACTAATTAACGTTTTAAGACTTGATCTTTTAATATGATGAGCTTAACAAACTTTAAGCTTGCATACTCTTCTTGATATTTTTTTGTCGTATAATTTTTATATATTTTAAATACATATTTTTATTTGGCCCACGGGCCGGCCTAGCCCAGTCTCAATCAAGCCTCACGGGCCACGGGCTTAGTCGATCCGGGCTTAAAAGCCTTGTTTTTAAATATGCTCCAAAAAATTTTAGTCCAGCTCTGCTAAATCACGGGCTGGCCCGACCCAACGGACCAAGCCCATATTGACAACTCTAATTCCTTATAAATTGTATGGTAATGTTTTTTCTATATCTCAGAATCCACTTACATGTTTATACATACTCCAATTTTTTCTTTTACTCCATCAATCTAAATGAGCATTGTACTCTAATATCTTTTACTTTGTCGCTATCCAGGCTTCGAAAGGAAACAAATATACCTCTTTCTCTAATATCTATCCCTTCCCCTCTTTCTTTTTCATTGAGCTGTTGTAAGAATCCTATTAATTTTACTGTCCTTTTACGTGTTAAAATATTCTCTTTTTTGGGCTGATAGCCGTTCGTTAAAAAAGGTTGAAAAGTTAAAATATAGGAAATAATATCTAGTTAAATATAAGTGGGGTCTCTATAATTGCACAATTATCCAAAGACGACAAAAATAAGTTTGGAACAATGGATGAACGTACGACGTCGAATTTCTTTGTTTACCTAAAACATTGTTAAAAAGTTAAGAAAATGGGAAGACAGTACTATTAAGTATAATTATAGCCTATTTAATTGCACAATTATTCAAAGACGACAAATAAAGTCAGAAGCAGCGGGATTTATTTTATATTATTTTTGGTAATGCAGAAATGTTTTCGTTTAACAAGTGGGGTTATATGGCCTAGTCCTCCCATTGGGAGTAGGCGTATGTGTGCTAGTAGTAATATTGTTACAATCAAAAGAAGACATTAAAGAGTTTTCAAGCATAGCCAAATTAGAACTTTTAAATGCTTTTAATCTTGAATTTAAAACTTTTAACTGCTTTTAAGTTAAAATAACTTTTAAGTCATTTTGTAGTGTTTGGATAAAGTAAAAAAATGATTTTAACCACTTGTTTTTAAGCTAAAATGACAAAAACAAGCCAAAACCAAAAAGTTAGAATTTATGACTTAAAAGCTATTTTGGCTTAAAAGTCACTTAAAACAAGCTTATCCAATCAGACTCTAGATTTTCCCATAATTTTAATACAATAAAGATTGCACCAATAATGCCAAAATTAAACCCACGTGGTTCACATTAGAGCAAAATCATGGCACATCTCCTCTATAAATTCAAGAGGTAAGCAAGAACGATAAAGCATCCAAAACAAATTAAATTCCATAAGTCCAACCCAAGAAACAAAAGATGAAGACCATCTTACTCTGTCTTTCCGTTGCATTTCTTCCCTTTTCAGCCTTGGCACAACTTGCACTACTGATATTGGCCCTGACAACTAAGTATTGAGAACCATAAACTTTAAATTATAGATCGGCCAATGCATAATAGGTTAGACAACAAAGACGATAAACTTTTCTTTTCTTAAATATTAGATCTCCGTACTGCTCATTTTTTAATGAGTAGCTTCTTTTTAGTATGGGATAAAAAGTTGGTGTCTTGTTGAAAAATAATTAATGCTCTCAACGCCAATAATGCCACAATTAAACCCACATGTTTCACATTAGGTAGAGCAAAATCTTGGCACATCTCCTCTATAAATTCAAGAGGTAAGCAAGAACGATAAAGCATCTAAAACAAATTAAATTCCGTAAATCCAACCCAAGAAACAAAAGATGAAATCCATCTTACTCTTTCTTTCCCTTGCATTCCTTCCCTTTTCAGCCTTGGCAACTTGCACTACTGATACTGGCCATGGCAACCAAGTATTGAGAGTTGTAAAGGATTGGAAGGGCCATCCCCTCGACAAAGGCGCTAGATACTTTATTGTTTCGGCCTTCAACGGTGCCGGCGGTGGAGGTGTGCGCCTTGCTAATCTAGGAGGTCAAGATGAAAACACTTGTCCTACATCAGTTGTGCAATCCCCTCGTGATAAAGACGATGGAATCGCGGTTTATTTTAAACCTAAAGAGCCCAAACATCAGGAGATTGTGGAGTCTGCTCCGTTAAACATCAATTTCTATCTTGATTATTATAAGTGTGCTAACCTAACCGTGTGGAAGGTTGACCACTACCCTAAACCCGCGGAGCACTATACCATAAGCACAGGTGCAAAGTTGGCAAATCCCCTCGACGTGAACAGCTGGTTTCAAATTAAGTCTCTCGGGAGCTCGTATAAGCTAGTGTTCTGTCCCTATGGAGAGACGTTTACTTGCCAAAATGTTGGCATAGTCAGTGAAAGTGGATATAGGCGTCTGGTTCTCACAGACAACGCAAAGGCCTTCGTGTTCATAAAGGATGACAGAATTGGAAAGGTCGAAGCATTATCGTCCATTACCTCTGCTTTCTAATAAAATTAAGCAATGTAAAATATGTAACGTAGGGCCTAAGTCCCAATGCATGGATGCAAAACTTAATAATGTAATGCAGGCCTAAGTGCCCATGAAATAACATCAGTGTCGTTCTTCTTAATTGATCTTTTTATTTCTTAGCCGTTTAATTTCCATAAACATGTATAATAAAAATAAAAGTCTTCGGAATTAACTTCAAAATATCAGAGTCACCAACTGGAAAAGTTTGGCCTAACTAAACAGTGGAAAATAAAGCCATGTATATATCGCCAACTTTTACAGAGCCTAGGATATAGTGTTCTGAATTATTTTCCACAAAATTAAATTCTTCCTTAATTATTTTCCAATTCTGAATTAATAAAAAGAAAGTAAAACTAGTAGCCATCCCCAACCGTATGCAAAACCATATTGCGAAGTTAAGTACGATATACTCTGTCAAAAATATTAGTCCCTTCGTGTTTCAATTTAGATGAGATAGTTTATTTCGGCACGGAGTTTAAGAAAAACAAGAAGAATTTTAAAATTTGTGGTCTTAAAAGCTTAAGGGGTAAAAGCTTTTTGGGGCCATAACATTTCTTTGGTTATAAAAGTTTATCATGAAGGATAAAATAGGTAAAATGAAGAGTTTAAAGTTGAATTTTTTATAATTGTAAAAATATATCATATTTTTTTTTTGGGAATAGATTAATGAAAAAAATGTGTTATATAAATTAAAATATGAACAATAACTTAGATTTACAGATACCATGGCAGCCCACACTATGAACCAGATATACACATACCCGCAGCCCAATAAAATTCAAAAACAAAATATTCGAAAATCAATAAATTAACTTCAGAATTTGGTATCAATAATGTACACAATTTCAAGTGAATTAGACCTCTGAAAAGAACAAACAGAAATAAATTCCCTCCTCATTAATTGTTTACCCATAAAATTGTATAGTTAAATTTGTTACGTGGTTTATAGACAAACAAACAGATTTGATCCAAAAATAATAAAAAAATAAGATTGAACATGAGATTCAACACATGAAATTGAAGAAGATGACAAGCCGGACTCCGGGTGCAGCCTCCAAAGACAAAAGTGAAAGTAATGATAAAATACAAATAAAGTTGTTTAATTAAGAGCAAAAGTAAAATATAGCTTATGACTGCAGAAAATTACATGTGTTACAATGGTTATTAAGCCTGCTATTTATATCCTAACCCAGGGAAACAAGATCCTAGGATGAAGCTCCTCTTAAATGATAATAAAAGAGTCATTGATGAATATGTAACGACAGGCCATGAATACAAATATTCTCTACAACAGTCGATCATTTAATGTTAGAGAATATTTCTTCATTGAATGCTATTCGATGGCAAACCCTTGATTTCCACCCTTTAATTGTGCTCCTTTCAAAATTCATCTGATGTCGATTATATTCGTTGTGTCTGATATTGGTTGTTGCCTGACTTGCCTTTTTCTTGCCTTCGGTTTCACGTATCATGGTGTCATTCGACCATCTGTTATAAATTAATTTTACCGCATACAGATAGTCTTTCTACCTTCAAATAATACGTCTTAGTGTTACCGGAAAGTTAGTGAAGATGTTGTTCTTGGCAGGAAAGTTTCGGAATAGTCTCTGACAATTGAAAGGACGTATGTCTTCCCACATTTAATATCACGAACACATGTTGCCCCATGATTCAGCAAACATTTTTGTCGGTTCTCAAGATAATCATGACCACTATTTTTGCCGTCTATAACTCCCCTTCTACTCATTATTTTTACTTCATAACTTCCAAAATTTTCATAAGTCCTTTCTCTTCATTGCATTTTCTAAGAAATTTCTCCATCTCGTCCAACATTCTTTGCAAAACTTTCACTAACCTTTTGCTACCACGACTTCTTTCACTACTTTCTTTGAAAATACTGGTCTTCTCTTCGGTGGAGGAAAAAAGAAATAAAGGAAAAAGAAGCCGATGTCGATTCTGAACCACACACTATAAGCACCATCATACCAAAACATCTCAGTACTGCTAACGACTTTCAAGAGAAGGCTACCTCTACATCTTCGTAGACTTAGCATGTTGGTAAGTATCCCTCCTTTATTGGCCATTCTAGTATCCCTACTATGAAAGAGGACTGCAATTGTCCAAATCTTGAAATCCTTGCCCCGGATTTGATAGAGCCACATTTACCAAGAAGGCCTACACGTATCACGTTACTTTGGGCCCATTCTCTCTGGGGTCGAATGAAGTGCTCGACCCTATAATTTTGGAGTTTTGCCACCGGTACCAGGTCTGCTTAGCACAAGTAGGCCCATCTATATGGCGAACGGTGGCTTCCCTTCGCCAACTATGCACAGAGACCAGGGAAACCCTTACCCTTGAATACATGATGAATCTTTACTCCCCTAAAGTTTTCTGTGGGTGAATAATAAACTTCAGCAAATGTAGCCACAACGCTCTTATCACCAACGTGGATGATGACAATGGTTGAGGCTGGATGGAGCAATTTGTCATCATTGCTACCAGGGACATTATCCCTGCCACCACTCCATTTTTTCCTGAGTCATGGAATCTCTTTAGTAAGTTTTCAGTTATTCATTCCCTTTCTTCATGAAAAAATTATTCTTCTTGTTACTTTTGTTCCAGTTACCTAATGGGAAACTCCATGGGTTCAAGGCTTGGACTAGTGAGTTCAGAAAATTCTTGAAATTACAACACCGGAATTCTACCGGTAGAAGAAAATGGTCCCTAAATACTGGTGGAAGGCCTAAATTTTGGTAAACCGAGTCATTTTTCCTTTTATATTTGTGCGAACATAGGTAATTTCATGAAAAGGTTGCTAACTCCATTTTTTACTTGATAGAGGACTTCCACAGGTCTCTGTCATTTTCCCCTGAAATCGACATTTAGAAGGGTGTTACAAGGCGCCCTTGCCCGAAGTAGAACCGCGGATCTGCTTCCGGTGAGGGTGTATCCTCTCTGAGTCCTTAGCTCAAGAACAAGCAAAAAAAAATGACGACGCTCTTCCTCGGCTGGTACTCATATAAGAAGATAAATAAGCAACAACCGAATCGGCTGCAGCTCAACCAGATGCTCAGTCGAGAGAGCTTCAAAACCCAACGTCGGATGAAGTTGATGCGCTTTGGGGAGAGATGAGATTGATCGTGAATGCTGATTCTCGTTGCCCGGCCCCCTTTGTTGCCTCCGATATAGGGATTCAGACCTTGGGATTCTTTTACCTTCGACTATTGAGCCAATAACAATCAATATTTCATATGCCACCCTCGCTTCTTCACCTTCTACATTGATGGGTTCACGCTCATTGACACCAGCTGCACATTCGCCACCGGCAACAACTACCACTCCTTCACTGGTACCATCTGAGCAAGGAAGAGGTGTTTCTCCTCCTCGGTCTCCCGACCATGGGAATTTAGGGCACAATTATTCAACCCCTTCCCCAGATCCTCGAAGGACGAGAAGTGCCATTCTTTCGGTTTCGAAATGGTGCCTTGTTTTATCCAAGCCAGTGGAGCTTGCGAATTACTTGAAGCCATTGGCTTCGAAGAAAGATAGGAAGAAAATGCAATCTCTTTCCTTGGAGTGCCTGATAAACAATGCCATGCACAACATGGCATAGGTACCTTACTAGTTTACTCGTATCTTCTTTTATATTCACCTATTGTAATGGAAATCCTAACTTTGATATTCTATTTTGCAAGACAAATTTCTTGCTTATGAAGGCCTACAAAGGTTGATTCTTGACAAGCAAGGACTCGCTTCCAAGAGGGATCAACTTTTGGCTGAGAGGAATCAATATGCTGCACGCCTCCCAGTATTGGAGGCAAAAGTTGCTGAGATGGGAGAGCTCGAGCCTCTGTTGCAGCAGAGCGAGCAAGATAAAATGGCCCACAGTCAAAAAGATGCTCAATTGCACGAAACGATTCAAGAGGCCAAGGCTTAGTGGGCCGAGTTACATGACACTGTGCTTGCTGCTGTCGAGCGCCAGTCTGCCTTGAAGGATCAAATAAATAACCTAAAGACAGAGTTGAGCTCCAAAACCAAGGAAGGCAATGCTTTTGAGGAGAGGAGGTCCAAAATGGAAAAGAGGTTTAAGAGAATCCTGGAGCAAAATCGGATCCACTTATTCTACAACCATTGAGCTTTATTCTCGCCTCAACGCCATGAGATCCGAAAGGGATGTCGTTCAAGCCAAAATTGGTAGACTCAAAGCAAAGCTCTGGTACCAAGAGGATTCCTCGTATTTGAGAAGACTTATGCTATATATTATATGAAGAGGACAACTTTGGAATAGGCCAAAGAGGGCATCGTCAATATTGATAATTGCATCACCAAGGCCCGAAATTGGAGCTAACTGCTCATGAAAATCTTCTTGCTCAGTCCGCTACAACTGACTCTTCGAGCACCGGTTCCGAGTACTCGGGGACTGAAGGAGAGATTGAAGAAAATAAAGATGAAGGCCCAGGCCCTGAACCGGTAATAGATCCGCTTCATCCCATCAGGGGAAATATAAACCCATCTCTCCCTTCGGGTTCCACCGGCAATGACGTTTAACTTCTTCTTTTTTTATATCCCGTAATTATGCCAAACTTTTCACTGAGTTTGGCACTTTGATAAATAAAGAGTTTTTTGGTTAATTGTTGTGCAAAATTATTCCTTTCGTGTTGAATTCATTAAAGCCTCGGGTATGTATTTATCCAATAGCTTTTTATTCGGCATAAATTCTTCCAAAATCAACCCTTTACTATGAGGGTTTTATAAGAAAGACTCTCTTATGTTTACGGTGCTCTTGAAGAGGACGTCTCCTGTTTATTCCGGCACAAGCATTTGAAGTTTTTGTTAACTTTCAAATGATAAAATTAACTCATCATTTGGACAAGAAATAAGATAAAAGTAAAAGGACTTTATTTTATTCCTTCTATCTTTAAAAGTGCATATGCATTCATTTGTTAAAGTAAAAACTGCCAATACATGTGACTAACTTGTACAATTTATTTCTGTGGGGCTGATCATGCAGTCCTCGTTCCTGATAAAATATTGATCCCAGTTCTAACTGTCCCATGTGTTTGTGGTATTACTATTACCGTATCTTATACTATCTCCCCT